TGACTGGCCTGCACAGAGTCCTGACCTCAACCTGATAGAGTGATAAGGTCTAAAGGGCACCCAGGATTCTCAGCCAGAGGGGCTGGGAGGTTTCCGGAGTCAAGTATCTTTACAGAGAAATATCTGGCTTTGCAGTTTTTTCCCAGATTTTCGGGATTCTGCATGGGATCCTGGAACGTGGGGATTTCTAAGGGGAAGGGAGGAAATCTCCATTCATGGGTCCATGTTTTTATAGTGACCAGCACCTGTTGTTTGCACAGGTGTGCACAGCCCCAAAGGTAAAGGTGCTGGTAAGTGTTCAGGGCTCCACCTTGGAGATGGTGAAGGTTTCCGTTCAGGAGTTAGTATTGCTCCAGCCAGGTGTGTGTGTGTGCTGGAGTCACATGAGAAATATCCAGGGAGGCTGGAAGAGGGCCAGTGAGAGTCACTGAGGCTGAGGACCAGTCAGCATGCATACAGGATAGCATAGTCTGTGGAGGAAACAGTGGCCTGAGGCCAGCGCAGCAGTGCTGCAAAAGAAAACTCAAGAAGCTAATTGGATCAGTGGCGAAACTATCGCCATAGCAGTCCAGGCAGCTGCTATGGGACCCGGACCTGGGGGGTGCCCAGGTAGGAGAAGTTCCCCATTCAGACCTTCTCAGTGTGGCATCTCCTCTCACCCACATGGATACACTGACAGCTCAGCAGATCACTTCTAAACAAAGAGGCAGCAGAATGCTTCCACTAATCTTTCTCTGCTGGACTCTGACTGATGACATCATCAAATGCAGAGCCCCACAGAGAAAGCAAGTAATGGAAGTATTATGATGGTTGTTTCTGCGATCTGCTGAACCGTCAATGCATCTGCGAAGGGGAGGGAAGAAACGCACTGGCACAGGACTGTAAATCTCTACACTGACAGTTGGGAATGTATCAGGTCTCTTGCATATAGGGTGCCATGAAGTGCTCTACACTCATTAGGAGTGCTATTTATTTAAGTTGTAAAGTTCAGCATAATCACAGGGGGTGGGGGGGAGATTTATCAAAACTGGATCAGATGCCCATGGCAACCAAGAAGCTTCTCTCTTCAGTTTGCTCTGTTGAGATTTAAAAATGAGTGATAGAAGCTGATGGGTTGCAGTGCAAATCTGCTCCAGCTTTTGTCTGCTCCAGTTTTGATAAATTCCCCCCCATTATATTTTGTGCTCTTTCACCAAAGAAAGGTAGAGACCAGCTGTGACTGTATGTATACATAACTGCTGCTCTACACTTACCCCCACCTCTGGCCAGGTGCAGGAAACCAAACAGACCAGAGATCAGTTTTGCTGGAACTGATTGTGCCGGATCGGGGCTAATCTGATGTAAATGGACACAAGTCCATTTACATCAGATTCCCCACAGACTGAGATGGGGTCTGGCCGTTTTAGTTTTTTCTTCCATCACAAGATGGGGGGAAAAACTGTATGGCCACAGATGTATGTACACAGAAATAGTGATATCTGCTCTGTAATGCTCTGATACGTGCATGGATCCCTTCCTGATCAGCCCATGTGAAAGGGGCCTAAAGAATTCACTATGCATCTAGGCACTATTTAATCACAGTTCAGCCCTTGTGTCCAAGCACTATCTACATTTAAAGCAGATCTCTGGGATCTCAAGGGTTAACTGCTTGTTTTGGTCTATGTTGTAAAATAAAGCAGATATACTCCCCTGATGCTCAGTCTTGCGGCAGTGAATGCTCACCTCTCTCCTCCTCTGCTCTAGCTGTGGCATGTCCCTTGGAGTCTTCACATCTAATATGCTGTCTTAGTCAAATTGATATGGATTCCTAGATTGGCGTAGCCCGGTGGAGTAGAGGCTGTGCAGACCAGTCTAGCAGCCAGGCGCGCTCGAGGATCACGTGAGTATATTTTCATTATTTATGCTCCTAGACCAAAATGAGCAGTTAACCCTTGCTGGGCAGGGGTAGTCCCACTGCAAAGATTAACATTGAAAAATCCTGAAGTTTTTCTTTAAGGGGGTAACTATGTGTGAAGGGGCGCTATAGAAAAGCTATGAAATCATTTATGACTGCAGCTGTCACCATATCTTAATTTTTTGGAGGTATGGGCAGAGCAGGATAAATCTCAGCCTGAGTAGCAGCTGCACGTTTTTCCTATTAGAGACCATTCACACTGGTGCACTGCTAAGCACAGACATGTTAATGTCACTTGTTAACATCCTTTAACTTCAGTCACCGCACATCCGTTATGACGTCCATGGTATGAGGTCATCACGCATGCGTGGTGTTGTACTTCACTGCTGGCGGCCATCTTGGTGATGGACACCGGCAAAGAGAGGAGGGGATATTGACCCAGCGGGATCAGGTATGTCACTGGGTCCCCTCCTCTCTCTCATGCTGTTGTCGGGCTCTCTCTCCATGATAGAGTGCTCGACTTTTAAGAGAGGGTGACCCCAAAATGAGGCACCCCCTTTGTGATGCCACTGCCAATCAGCATGAAATTAGGTGAATGTACTTTTTTTTTTTGCACACATCCATCGGCAAGGTGCATTGGGGATGCACCACATCACATCAACACGCACAGTATCACATGCATTGCAGCAGGGAGATGGTGTGAATGGGCCATTAAGGTACTCTGCTAGTACACTCCATATGCCATGCTGTATGCTTACAGTTCTGCACCGGCTTATTACATATCCCATGCTGTATATTCACTATTTCACAGTGACTCATTCTGTATGCCATTCTGTACATTCCCTATTCTGCACTGGCGCATTCTATATGCCATTCTATACATCCCTATTCTCACTACCTTATCCTATATGCCATGCTGTGCGTTTTCTATTCTGCAATGCCTTATTCCATATACCATTCTGTATGTTCCCCTATTCTGCGCTGCCTAATGAAGAGTACATTTACACAATGTACACACATTCTCCTGGCTGAATAAGACTGACCCTCCCCCTGGCATGGTAAATAGGGTGTTGTACTATGGGGCAATTTTTCTTGGGGGGGGTGGCCCCTTCCTGTTCCAACATGACTGCGCACCAGTGCACAAATCAAGCTCCATAAAGACATGGATGAGCGACTTTGGGGTGGAGGAACTTGACTGGCCTGCACAGAGTCCTGACCTCACCCGATTGAACACCTTTGGAATGGATTAGAGCGGAGACTGCGAGCCAGGCCTTCTTGTCTAACATCAGTACCTGACCTCAGAAATGTGCATCTGGAAAGATGGTTAAACATTCCCATACACACTCCTAAACCTTGTGGACGCCTTCCCAGAAGAGTTGAAGCTGTTATAGCAGCAATGGGTGGGCCAACTCAATATTGAACCCTACGGACAAAAGGTGCCCATACACTGCTCGATTCTCGTACAAGAATCGCGGGAAATACTGCAATCGTACGAGAATCGAGCAGTGTGAACGAAGACGTGCAACCGTTTCTACTGTACGGTCGCACGTCTTTTGTCTAAGGAGCACGCTAGAAAACCAGCCGAAAATCGTACGATTTTCGGCTGGTTTGAACGGTGCTCGGGAGACAAATGCCCAACGTTCAGCATTGCGGTCATCGGAAGCCCGCCCCTCAGGGGGGCGGGCTTGCGATGATCGAGAGTACGATCTGCCTGTCCAAGATGGGCAGATCGTACGTTTTTTTAATCACTTTACAACCATCGCAAGACTAAGGTCTTGCGATGGTTGTACAGTGTATGGCCACCTTAAGACTGGGATGCCAGATGTGTGTTTAAAGACAAGCGTCAAAAAACTTTTGGTAATATAGTGTGTATATATATATATATATATATACACAAGGTGTGCATAATTATTAGGCACGTTGTATTTTTGAGGATTAATTTCATTATTGAACAATTACAGTGCTCTCAGTCAATCCAAAATGTTAATAAACCTCAAACCTGAATATTTAAGACAGTAAAAGTGAGGTTTTGGCTTTCTTAGGAGAATATCTGGGTGTGCACAATTATTGGGCAACTATTAAGTGTGCAGGATTATTTTGCAACTAAATGGAAAACAAAAATTTTCCCATCTCACTTGTTTATTTTTATCTGTTAAAGTGAGAATAATAAACAAACATTCAAAATTTACAAATAAACATTTCCGACATTTTCAAAAACAAAATCAGTGACAAATATAGCCCCCCTTCTTTTCAATAACAGTCATCAACCTTCCAGCTATCAAATAATTTGGAGGGGTGTCCCAAAACGTGTGGCAATATAGTGCGTGTATATTTATATATTATACATACTGTATATAATCTCAATACAATAATGGAGAAATCTCCCATGGGGATGTCTGTCAGGACAAAAAAAGCTCATACAAGGGTCTGAAAAACCAGATTTGATTTTATATAAAATATGGATTTTAGACGTTACAATGTATTGTGCAATCTAGTTTAGATGTATCAAGATTATTTTATGCAAGCTCATTTCACTTTGTATCCAGTCAGGCAGGCCATTGCACTACACAATTGTTGGTGGATTTAAAGAACGTTTTACAGTCAGATTGGAATGTTTATGTTTGCCTTAATATTTGGAAGATGATGCATGTACGGTTGTACATTACTTATGCTGAATCTTCATAGAACTGAATTAGAATTAAATTGAATTGAATTAAAAATGTCTCTACAGTCTAGAAGGCAGAAGGCACATTATAACATAGCAACAACTCAGGCAGCCACCTGCCAAAGCATCTCATAAAGCACAGTGCAGCTGCTGCTCCTCCACCCACAGCACATGGTTTTACACAGATACTGGATCAGAGCCTCCAGTCCAGTGTCCCAACAGATGCTAAGTAGGACTGAAAAAAATGCATCTGTAAAGAAAAGTGTGGAGCTCACAGCTAAAGCTAACATATTCTACTTATTGTGCTAACTGTGTTCTCTAAGATGATAAAGTAAAATCAACCCATATCTGTGCACTGCTATAGGATTTAAAAGAAATGACAGTCTGCATCAGAAGCACCAGCCATCCTCACTCTCACTGCACTCCCCTCCTCTCTCCCAGAGTCCTTTGCACTAAACACATGACGTCAGAATAGCGCTGACATTGCACGGCAGTTGCTTCTCACTGTGTTTCACAGGCTGTGCATCTATCCCTGGATCCCTAGATAAAGTGCTGCAGGATGGTGGCCCCAGAACACTGTTGCTGCGACTACAGCCTTCTCTTATTGCTTATTGTAATTGTGTCTACAGTCAGTGCAGGGGATCCCTTTGATGCCCAGCTGGGAGACATCACCTCCTGCAGCCAGCAGTGTCAGTTCACCTTCAAGCACAAAAGCTCAAAAGAAGTAAGTACCCTAAGATCCAAGCTGTGTGTGTGTGTTTGTGTATGTATGTGACAGACAAAAAAAAAAAAGGACCAGTAATAAGCCTTGTAAAGTGTATGCTTATAATGGCCCACGCAGATGTCATCAAGCATCCATGTTACTGCATCCTGCGTATATGATGCTTCCATGGCACCAGCATCTCATGATTTTATTATGACATCTGGGCATGTCATTTTAAGGTTGGGATTAACATGGTGGTCACCGGCATGTGACTGTTCTATATGTAATAAGCAGATGCATCCAAAAACAAAAGCATCGTCTGTTTGAAAAGGTGAATGATACATACTGCTTTTTGTGCTATTATCATAGCACTGAAATAAGGCAAATCGCTTCCTTTCTTTGCTGTTGGTTCTCTCATTGTGCCGTTCTCATGGTGGGTGTGTAATTGCACGTCCCTGGAGTGAATGTCACAGCAATTTCTCACCAAAGGAAACTATTGGTATAAAGAGGTTCAGCCTCACCGCATATAATGTATATTTCCATCATAATAGCAACTGTATTATTGTAGTATAGCATCTGTGAAAAAATGATTGATGCAAAAGGCACAATATGTACACTTGCAATATTATTATATACTGTAGCTTTGTGATCAATAATAATTATACATATAGAGTAGATATGTCCTCTGTGTGACCGTGTTTTAAAATAGTTTTATTTTCTGCAAAAATGTTTTGGCTTTGCTTCTGATTTATTAATGTGGATTCCTGGCTTAGGTATTGTGCACTCATCAAGAATGTTGTGTACTAAAACAGATTGGTTTAGGCCAAGATAAATTAACTTGTTTATGTAACCAGCCCTCACATTTATTGCAATGCCTTGTTGTGTTATAATTTATAATGTTATATATACAGTAGGTTAGGGATGTGCTTTATTTTTGTGTTGTGTCTTGTTTTCTCCAAATTTAGAAAATATTTTTTAAAGTATTTAATGTGATTGTTTTAATTTGGTGGTATATTTTTCTAACACCAAGGTTTGGTCTCTCTGTGACAATGTTCACTATTGCTTCACACAATACAACCCACAGTGTTCCCAGGTATTAGTACATTATCAGGTCTGTATGTTGTATTAAATACAAGAGTCATGTTTCAACTTTATAGAGATTAAAACAGGAGAAATACAAGCACACAAAGTACAGAATAAGATATCAAGTATGAAAAGGAGTAGAAGAAATAAAAGAAAAAGATGATCAAAGAAAAAATAAAAGACAAGGAAAGAAAAAAAAATTATATAAAAAAATAGAAAAGACAAAAACATAAAATACTTTTTAATACATAGGTAGAAAGCTCTAGAGCTCCGAAAGCTTGTATTGTTTTAATTTTTTGTTAGCCACTAAAAGGTATCACTTTGGCTGTTTTTTTTTCTTTAACGCTGTATTTGTTTTCTGGCTAACAAGATTTTGTATAGGCCTTATAGCAATGCCTTAATACCTAAAAAGTGTTTTGGGAATAGTTTTGCTATACATGCTTTCCACTGTCAGTCCTATTACGACAATTCAGAAGGGTCAATAAGTCAAGCTGCAAGTGAGGTGTTCAAAATGGTGGCCAAAGAGGGGAAGGGGAAACAGACATTATTCCCTTGTCTTTGCTTTGGTTTGAACCATGACCTCATAGGCAAATGAAAGCTTATATACTAAGTAGATGAATAGGGTGATATCCAGGAGCAGCAAATAGTTTGTACTTTTTGCAGTGGGTCATGTTGTGGCGGGATTGCATTAGCTATTCATGAAGAATTTGAAGAACCTGAGCTATGATTAAAGTAGAACTGAACTATAGTTTTGGATAGAGTAAGGGAGGGTTATAATAACCCCTGTAATTTTTTTTCCTGATCTGTGCCCCATTGGGGAGATTTTCCTTTACTTGCTATTCAATAGCCATAACAGAAAGTGAGAGGAAACTCCTCCAAATCCCCGGTGACCAGCAGGGTCACCAGAATTGGTGTTCCCATTGGAAGATTTCCCATCTATACCTGGTGACCACCCAAAATTTGGGATTGCCTTTGATTTACACAAGAGATGTTTATAATGATAAAAGATAGAGGGGTATATGTATAAAGCATTGCAATTCAGCAAATATTTACTGCAGCCAAATCTTCCTGGTCAACGTGATTTAAAATACAGTGAATCCTTTACCACCAGTGAATGTTTTGGTGAGTGTCACATTTACTGACTTATAAACATACCCATGGTTTTTCTAAGACTGTTCCTGTATCGTGCAACATAGCAGGAATTTATTCATGCAGACTTCAGAAGTTATAGAGGACAATGTTACATATTCCCCCTTGCTGCGTTCCCGTTTGCACATGGTATCATATAAATATTTTAAACAGAAGAAAGAGCATAGACATTGTAAAGTTATGGATATAAATATTAGGCAATGGCATAAAAAAAGAAAACCACTGTGCTGCATATATTAAAACAGAAGATTGCTCAAAGGTTGCCCCCAAAACATTTTTAGCTAGTCAACACACGAACTTTGATTGTTCTGATAAGTTAGAAACGACTCTTAAAGATCTTTTAGTTATGCAGAATGTATAGAAACTATCAAGGGTAGACATTAAACAGGAGTTAAATCTTAAAACAAACCTTTTATTAACAAAACTGTATCTTATTTGTGCATCACTCAGCTGTAGATTCTCAAATCATCTCTAAATTCAGAGATGATTTGAGGATCTGCATCTGAGTACTTGAATCCATTTTAAGGTTTAACTGCTGAGTTTAGGGTCACTTTAAATCTCCAGGCAACTCACTTTAAAACTCCAGACAAACAGCTAATAACACTGGCATAAACATATGAGAGATCAGTTTAAAAAAAATTCTGTGGTGCTCAGATTAAAGAAAAACAGAAATAAGGAAACAACGGGGAATAAAACAGACACTAGCAATAGTAATGCAACACGTAAAAAGAAATGCATATGTACACATTCATAAGAATACTATAAAAAAAACTATTTGGCAAAGGTACTTCGAATATATTCTGTATATATATTCGAATATAAATCCTGTATAATAATAATATATAAATAAAAATCAACTGCCACTAAACGACAGATGAATAATGCAGTCAACTGTTGGAGGAGGGAGCTCCCAAGCTTCCATAGTGTAGTAAAGATGGAAACTTTTATTGGCAAAAATCATAAGAGCAATGCCCAAGCAGGGTAATGGATAGTGAGCCATCCTGTATGAAAACATCCGTCCTGCAGCAAGAATCCCACCGTAACCATGGGCAGGGCAAACAAGCCGCAATCAGTGTAGAAAGAATGCAGCATAAGCGCAGGAGGAGGGAACTGACACTATGCTGATCACACAAACTCCGCCCCTTCCATGTTAATGATTATTAAGTGCACAAGTATATATAGTACAAAGATTTACAATAAGTATTTGAAAGTAAAAATTACAACGCATTCCTCTGACCTGTAGTGTATCACAGGGTCACAGGAATGCTTTTCAGGGATAAAGGCCATGACACACTGCACGCGAAGCCATGCAGAGCGAAGCAAAGCTACCCGGCACGGAGCTTTGCGTGCAGTGTGTGAGCTGAGTGCAGTCAGATAATTGACTGCACCTTCAGCCAATCGGCTCGTGCAAGGCTCGTATCAGCCGAAGCAACGGCTAGATCCTTTGGCTCCGTGAATAACCCTCATTGTTAAAATTAGGGATGTCCCGATGCCACTTTTTCAGGCCCAAGTACAAGTACATCCCCTCATGTACTTGCCGATACCAATTGCCGATACTTTTTCTTAAAGGGACAGGTGACTTTAAATGATCCATAGTACAACTACATGTTATGTACTATGGATCATGGTGTAAAAAGAGATAGTTAGGGATCAGCACTAAATTGGAGACACCACACCCCTAATTACAGTTGTAAGCCAAAAAAGAGAAAAGAAAAGATGGGGCTTTAAAAGTGTCTACTAACTAATGCCAGGGAGTATGGTTCAACATAATGTCAAAAAATTCATCAATATAATAAAATTCATTTTTAATAAAGAAAATACATGATTGACAAGGTAAATAAAACATCTCATATTCAATTTAAAACATCACTACATAAACGGCATGTCACCTCTATGGAAATCATACAGATTAATATGCATAATAGCAATAATTCATCGTTTCTATATTAATTCATTACTTGAAAGTCAATAAACACATTATTCATCATATTAATGCAAATTCCATAAAATAATAATCTGTATTTTTTCCTTTTCTTCGACGCGTTTCGCCGTAGCTTCGTCAGGAAGTTAATAGAGGTAGCCTGTGAATTCCATATGAATATGATTGTAAGCAGTCAATGTTTGGACATAACCATTAGCCATTAATGACAATTAATTAATATAGATCAATAAATACATAAATAAATACCATAAATAGGATATGTGATGATGGTGAGAAAGACTCGCATCTGGGGAAGCCCCTCCCCTCAGGCAGGAGCACAAGGTATGGAGATGCCAAGGGGAATCGGAAATGGCAGGCTCCCATATCTGTCCTTGAGCCACCTATAGAATAAATAGAATCAAATGTTCTATGGATCATGGTTTAACCTATTCATGTTAGCAGTGGAGAATTGTAACTCTATTGCTGGAGTGTAGTGGAGGTGTATGCTTTATATATGTACTACATATACATTACACACGTCCAGTACACTATAGCAATAGATTTACAGCCAGCCCCGTCCCAGCTTCCCTCACTTACAGTTTCACTCCGATCCTTATTGCCTCACGCGATGCCTCTCGTAGTCGGTGCTGGGCAGGATCGCTGCATTGCATCTCGGTGCTCAGCTTGTGGGAGGCGCTCGCAATTCTGCCCTGCTAACATGAATAGGTTAAATCATGATTCATAATACATATACAGCACATACGTCCAGTACACTGCATTAATAGAGTTACAATTCTCCACTGCTAACATGAATAGATTAAATCATGACCCATAGTACATAATAGTACATAACATGTAGTTGTACTAC